ATGTTCCCTGTGGTAATATATGCGTGTTATTTTATTAGAAGCATGAATATAATCTGCATAATATATTACGAGATATTAATTCACTTATGATTTCTTTTTAATGCAAATTTATAAATATATACTTGTAGCTTATTTCTTTTGCTCATCCTTGCCATCAGTTTTCTTGTCTTTATCCTTATTGAGAGAGCCAACAGCGTCACGCACTGCCTCCGATTGGGGATCGACTCCAGGGAGATTTTCAAGAACGCTTTGCAAGAATGCTGGGTCCCCAATCACTTCTGAATAGTCCTCATCGACATCCATGGGGGCAGCGGCATCTTCTGTTTTGGGACGTTTCGCTTGCTGGGTCACGGTATCATCAGCTGCATCTTGCATGGACATTTGCATGGCAAAAGCGATTTGCTCTTCCTCGGTCATGTTGGCGAAGTCAGGCAAATTATCCTCTGGTGTTTCAGTCGACAAAGCCAATGCACGTTGTAACATGGCTTCCTCAGAGTTCGAATTGGGAAGAGTTACGACTGGGCTTCTTTCTGCGCCACTGTCTCCGCTAGTTGCAATCGAGGGAGGTGCAGCCTCAGCACCCCCAGCGCTATCAGCACGGCGCTGCTCACTTTCTTGGCGTTGGCGCTGCTCCTCCATGGAGACGCGCAAGGCGAGAGCCAGTTCTGGATCCTCATTGGGATCGACACCAAATTCGAAAACGGCGCCTCCCAAACCAGCCGCACCCATACCATCCTCGCCTTGTATGATGGGCGATGACAATAAGGCATCAGACAGAGCCGATCCTCTCGGCACGCTAACTAAATGGGAACCAGTTCCATCTTTGCCGTTCAGAGCATTAATAAAAGCCGTCAATATTTCAATGTTGTTTCCATGATCCCCAAAGCTGACAATATCCACGTTTACTTTTTCCTTCTTTAGACGCTTGGCTTGCTTAACGAGCTCTCCTTCTTCATTGTTGATTGGCGAACCAACAAAAACAACGATGCGCATTTTATGATTTTTACCTTGGCGATGCTTCAACACCAAATGGGCAATGCGAATTCCAGTTAAAAGATTTATTTCACCCTTCGGCTGGATCAAATGCATCTTCGAGAATATCCGACCCACATCGCTGGTTAGTGTAGCCAGCACTTCAACGGTGCTGGAAATAAATAAAATGTTAGTATACTCAGAAAGACATATATATATATATAAACTCCCTGCGCACTTTGAAAGAGTCATCAGACCAACATTATTCTCGGGGTTGGATCTCAGCTTGGTTAGACAGACGAGATTGATGCCGTCTTTCTGTACATTTAAACGGGTGGGAAAGTAGTCACCATTGCGTTGGTAATCACTGTTGTCGAAACTAGATGAAAAAGAAGTTAAATTGAAATCAGTGCAACCATTTCTTTATTTAAAAACACTTATTTACCATATCATAGTACTTTCCAAGACCATTTTGTATTTTTGCTTGTCACTTTTCCACTGAACTGTAATACCTAGATGACTGCACAGAGTTGTTTGGTTTCTTAAATAAATCGAATACTATCGATATTTGACAACTTATGGCACCTATGATATTTCATATATTTTTGTTAGCAAATAAAAAGAACATTAAATTTATTGTTTAATTCCCATTTCCAAATGCCAAAAAAGAAAATACTTTGAAAATATTTCTTATTCTAGTGTTTGAAATATGGGAACTTTTATTGATTCCCGATTTGATTGTCCGCACTGTTGTCTGTCATCTGGGGAACATTAACACTGTGGTCTTTATCTTTCAAATGAACCAAATTTATTAAACATACATTTGGTAGCCCTGGTAACATATGTTTTTGTCCCATGGCTGTCATGTGATATTCATAAGATTGAAAAAGTGCCTTCTTCGCGATCACTTATTAATAATTTTGTGTTTTCCGTTTAATTAATAAATCTGCTGAGCCCGGCAGAACTGCAGTATTAAAACTAAGTTAATAAAAGTGTACAAAAATGGTTGATGCTTACGTTCCTCCAGTTGTTATCACCGTCATTTGGGCGTTCATTGGTTTTATATGCCCCTTCTTCGCTCGTGGCCCTAACAGAGGGTAAGTTACAACATTAATATTTTAAATATATATTATTAGAAAATAATGTTATACGCTTATATTTCATTTCAGAGTGACACAATGCTGTATTATGCTAACTGCCGTTACCTGCTGGCTCTTGTAAGTTTATACTCACTGACCATGAGACTTCTTAGACACATATACATACATGTGAATATATTTGTGTGTGTATATGTATGTATATGTATAAATATATTATGAATATATTTGCGTGTGTGTGTATATGTATATATATATTATGAATAATCCAATAATTCTTATCATCTTTTATGCAGTTGGTTGTGTTGTTATTTAACCCAAATGAATCCTCTTATTGGCCCCAAGCTATCGATGAACGAAATTATGATCATGGCACGTGAATGGGGCAACGAAATTAAAGACACCATGGATGTCGAGGCATAAAAATGCGCATCAAATGCCATTCCTTCAAAACCTATTTGTTATTATTTCTTTCCATTTATTTGTTTCCATCCTTCAATTGTGTTTACCAATGTGTCTTATTAAAAACTGTTTAAGTTTGCATTATATTATATACAAATAAATAATTTCCGAGTGTGTATGACGAAAGACTGTTTTTTAAGACATGATTTAGGATCGAGTCATTTCCTTTATTTTCAGACAATATAAAGAAATCGTGAAGACATTGTTTGCCTTCCTTCAATAATAACAAATAAACCATTTCGATAAACAGCGGAACAGAATTCGCAATTTAAGTTCAATAAAAGTTTATTTATTTAGTAACTACGCAAAACATAAATCACTGAATGGTTTAAAATATATAGTATTTATATATATAATAATAATAAGTATGTATATTGATGTATGAGTGTATATGATATTATTGAAATATTTATTTACACTTTAGCGCTAATCAAATTTACAATTTGCTTAAATAAAATTCAAAACTTCATTTTGATTAAAAAAAGAAAACAAATGAGAGGAAACAGCATTGCATATATAAAGAATGGGAACTAGGGTAAAATCAAAAACAAAAGTAAAACAATAAGCGAAACAATGGCAAATCAACTCAAAACTGTGTGACTACATATTTACAGACAATCCCCCCCATGATTCGACAACTTTTCACTTAATAACTAACGCTGTATCCATATTTTCCAATAATCGAAATCCAGAAAGCCAGAATTCAGAGCAGTTGCCGAACAATTGGGCAGCAATTTTTTGTTTTTCTTTGTTTGACTTGTCATGAATACGAGGAACGGCAACGGCAAATCAAAAAATGGATTTACATATCTATGTTTGTGAAGAGCTTGCGGGTGTAGTAGTTGACGATGCTGTTGGCGGTGCCGCTGCTGCTGGCGCTGTCAAATTGGGTTGAACCGGTGCAGCAGCTGGTGAATAGTACGCGGTAGTTGCTGGAGCGTTTGTGCTTAGAGCTGGAGAGAAAAAAAACAACACTTAAATATATATTCTGATCCATTTTCTATTAATTTGCCGCTTACATTGGCGCAGTGCCTTTTGAAACTTTTCGTATTCCACATAGTGCTTTAGACGCAGCTCGTCCTCCTCAATCAGCTGTCGTTGCCGCAGCAGCAACAGTCGCTGATGCTGATTTGTGCCCAAACGTGTATTGCACAACTGATTCACCAATGAGTCTAGATTATGCTTGATGTCCTATAGGAAATAAAAGCAATGTAGTTAAGCTGATTCGATAACAAATGAATTAACTTACAGATTGAATATCGCTCGGCAACAGGTGAGGATGAGTGGCGGCTAATGACACGGGTTCTTCTGCAACTGCAATAAATATATAAGTTGTATTACAGGAGATACAGAAAATAAGCTTTCTTAGTAAATTCACCTTCAGCAACAGCTGGGTTAAATAACGGCTGCAGCACATGCTGCATGGGTTGCGCTGTCTGCTGTGGCTGGCCTACCAGCGGCGCCTGTTGCAGCAGCTGACCTGAGGCAGACACTTGGAAATTTGGCTGCGGTTGCTGGTTGTAAATGGATGTAACAGTTTGTTGCGGCTGCTGTTGCAAATGCGACTGCATTTGCAATGTCTGCTGCTGTTGCTGTTGCTGCTGTAGCAGCTGATGCGAGGCAGACATTTGATTTGGCAAGCCACCCGGCATCCCCGCCAGCTGATGCTGTTGCATTGGCATTGTCATTACCAACGGCGGCAGCTGGTGCATTTGATTGGCTTGCGCCTGCATAAACTGCTGTGGTGCATGTGTCTGTTGCTGCTGTGGCTGTGATGTTGGCAACGTGAACTGCTGTGCAGCCTGCTGCTGTTGTTGTTGCAGTAGTATTGGTTGCTGTTGCTGTTGCTGCTGCTGCTGCTGAGCCAATAGCTGATTTGGCTGCTGTGCCTGCTGCTGAGGCTGTTGTTGTTGCTGCAGTTGCTGCAGTGGAATTTGTTGTTGCTGCTGCACAGCGTTCACCATTTGCGGCATTTGCTGATGACGCTGCGGCATATTTGAATACATGTGTTG